ACCTCCATGCCACGCTGAATTGAGGCAGTAATTAAAGCAAAAGGAGCCCCTACCAAGTATTGAGTACATATACAGTAAATGAACATACTTTCCAGAAGGCCAGCAATTCACTAAAAATGTTTTTTTATAGGTCTTATGAGGTATTCTAATTTATTGAGATAGTGATTTGGTGGGTTTTTGTTAAATGTGAGCAAAATCATCACAATTAAAAAACCCAATGGCTTAAACTACTTCAGTCTGTGTGTACTGAATTTATATAATACACAAGTTTCACTATTTGAGTTGAATTACTGAAATAAATGGACTTTTCCACAATATTCTAATTTATTGAGATGCACCTGTACTGCTTATTCCTGAATAGGGTCGCGAGGGGTCTGGGGCCAATCCCAGCTGGCTTCTGGGTGAGAGGCGGGGTCCATTCTGGAGAGGTCACCAGTCTATCACAGGGCTGACATGTAGACAAACAACCACACACACTCACACTCAACTCCTACGGGCAAGCACAGAAAGGCCCTGGGTCAGCCTGGGCTCAAAAACGGAACCTTCTTGCTGTGAGGTACAAACAGACTACCAGAAGGTTAAACCGCCATCCACTGTAGTCATTCTAGATCAGTCATGCACAGTGGTTTTTCACTGAAAATATGGATGCAAAAACAGCTGAATTTTATATTTTTGGGGTGATAAGAGGAATCTTGAGAGGGCTATCTAGACCACCGGTTGTCAACTTGTGGTTTAGGGTCCCACCAAGGGGTCATAAAGTAAATATCAGGGGTTGGGAGATGATTAGTGGGGCAGGTTAGAAGAAAAATATTGTTCTGCTACTTAGTTGTTCTGACTTTTCAATAATGTTTTTTCTTTCTGGATCTGAGGATAGAGGATATCATACTCATACTGTATGCTATACAGATTGTAGTCAGTTCCCTGCAACAAATGTGTAATGTGACCTATATAAATGATACCAACTGGAATCCATAAATACCAGGCTGTTTGACCTCCTCAGGTCTCTAAATTATTCAAATA